TTTCTCTTTTTTTATTTCCTCTCCCGAATCAGTAGTGCTCTGATACTCGTTGATAGAAATTGATAACAGATACAGAAATTAACCACACAACGGTAGTAAAAAACAAACCTTAAAAACTGGATACCTTGGAGAAATGATATAGAAGCAGGAGTCACTGTACTGACTCTAGGATCGGGAGGGTCTTCTCTTTGGATGCTTAAGCCACTACCCAGAGCTGGATTGCTGTCAATAATTGCCACACTCAACTGCTTTGTCATTGGCATACTAGCTGGAAAAACAAAACAATTGGGTATTTGTTGCTTTAATAGCTTTTTATATCATAAGTAATACTCCTAAGCATCATCATCATCATAAAGGTTGAATGAATGAACATTGAAATATTTGATTACTTCTTAACATGGTTACAAGTTAAAACCTAATACAAGCTCTTTTTGCTTAAGCATAATCTTTCAACGATGGTAGAATGGTATCTAAATTGCCATGCCTTTCTCTTAATAATAACGAAACATATTCTCAAATATTTTATGGTTTCGGAATATGAAACTATTCAATGGTTTATTGACCCGAGAAAGGTGGTAACGGGATGCAGATTAATAAGATTAAACTTTGATGACGATGTGATTAGTTAAAGATATTAGGCAAACTATACCTAACTAAAATACATTCCAATGACTTATGTAGATGACAGTATGATACAATATATTACAGTCTAGAAAAAATATGACTCCGACATACACCCATCGCAAGAAGATACCTAAGAAACAGGCTAAAGACATGCCAACCATGCCTCCTCCAACAATAGCAATATCATATTCTGGAATAACTTCGCTAATAATTGGCTTCTTCTCATGCTCCTGCATATTTTCAAGAATACAAATTATACAATTTTCAGTTTCTTTTCGAGTGGTAAATCATTATCTTTCAATTGAAAATGTACAAAGACATTAAGATAGTATGAAGGAAGAGATGACGCTAGACAAAGATTATGAAGAAGCTAAGCACCAAGAAACATCGCAGTAATCCTTTTAACTAATGTTACATGAATAAACTAACACATGTAGAACTATAAACCAAACTCAAAACTACGATACAAGACTACAATCCAACCCAAATCAACAGAAGGTTTTGTCTTCCTCTATATTTCCAATCTTTCTCCCTCAACCCCTATAGGTATAGTTTCACAACAGTATTAATCAATTTAATATAAAACAAAATTTTACTTGCTTCAAATCCCATTGTGTCATCTTGGAAAAACTCAATTTTGTATTCTGTAGTTAAAACTAAAACACTAGATACTAGAGCTATTCGTACGAATAATGATAAACGCAAATCTCAATCAGAATGGCAAACAGTTTTATAAAATTACAACTTGAAAATGACCATCATCTAGAAACTTGCCATGACACCAAAAAGTAACTATAGGACTTCCTGTTCATTAATATTTCCTAAAATGTACAGAGCGAGATGGAGTGAAACGGAGCAGAGAGGAATGAAGATTCCACTCCATCGTTTGTATATTTTAGGACGGAACAAGGTAAGTTTTTCATTCCGTCCAAATCGGAGGGGAAGAAGTATGGTGGTAAGTGGTGGAATGGGATGGAATCCATACCACCATATTCCACTCTGCTCCATCCAATTTTAACTTATCCAAACAATGAAATAACACTTCATTCCATTTCATACCACACCATTCTATCCAATTCCATCAATCCAAACATACCCTAACAGCAGAAATAGGGATCATCTTTCATATATACCTACAAAATCGGACTCCCCAATCTTCAAAACAAGAAACTCAAGGAGACGTGTCATCAAAGTTGCAAATTTCAATCTCAAAGTATATTCGATTCCAAATGGTCGGTTAAGAAAAACAAGAAACAAACCCAGTGATCAAATTATATCGTTAAACTTTACAACTTCTAGAATCTAAACTCTCAAGTTCTCATCATTGTTCTAAATTGCAGTCTACAACCCCAATTTCGACTGCAATATCAAGGTCCAAAGCGTAAAAATCTAATATTGTCTCCATGAAGTCATTTTGAGACAAAAATCATATATCCCCTTTTGAATTTCATTTTTCATGTAAACCTCCAAAATATAAAAAAAAAAGAAATTATTGACATGAAACATAGTTATAGTTATTTGCTTACATTGGAAGGTACAAAATCAGTGGAACCAGCAACTTTAACAGTCTCCGAACAAAAAAACTTCCTTGGAATTTTCAGCGCACACGCATTTGAAACAGTCTTCTTTATCACCCTGTTATATCAAATCATTCAGTAAGACCCAAACAACAGAAAACAACAATTTCCATTTTGAACCCAATTTGTGGCAGAAGAAGAAGAAGAAGAGTTGGAATCGTGAAAAGTGAAAGATGGGCGTACCTGTTCATTGTTTGAAGAGAGTAAGGGTTAGAAATGCGTTCGTTGTTGATGATTCATTCCAAATCATGAGAGCGAGTTGTGCCTGTGATGTGTTCGTCGAATGTCCGTTTATTTTTTGTAATTAAAAAAGAATTTAATTAATTTGCTGTGAAAAGATATTTATACTCTCTCTCCCGTCCCTTTTCTCTTTTTCTCTTTTTTTTTTCTTTTTTTTTTTCCTGTTTCTCTCTTTCTCTCTCGTTCCTTTTCTCTTTCTTTTTCTCTCTTTTTTCTCTTTCTCAATCCGCTGGTAACCCTTGCACGAACTTGAGTGACTTAACATCTAGCGTTTTCAGATTTAAAGGTTGCGGCTTCTAAATTGGTGGATACTATTCAAACACCTACAAGTTGAGAGATGAAGTGATACAGATGAAGCAATAATCGGTTATAATTCTCCTGTCTCCCTTGCTCTTCTTCTTTCTTCTCTCTTTTTTTGGGTATTTCTTTTGTTATTTTGGTATCATAACGATAGATGAATAGTGTGGGAATTGGTTTTACGATGGTGCATCTGTTGGATTGAACAAGTCGGTTTTGATCTCTCTTTTAGGGTTTGAAACAGTGCGAATCAGTTGAAATTGATAAACCCTAATCCCTAATATTTTCGTTGATTTCAATGTCTCTGTATCATTTTTCATTTATGTTTGCTATGATAAACCTTAATCCCTAATTTTTTTTATTTATCATGTTATATGTCATGCGGGGTGGAGCAAGTCGTTTGAAGTTGATACAGTTGGAGCAAAAGCTCAAACGTGTAAGACAACAGGAACATATCGACGCTTCACGCCGGATTGCGTTTATTGGCTCATGTATCAACACAAATAGTAGGAACATATATGGCTATGCTGCCCCGGAGTACATTGCCACAGGTATTGTCACTACAAATATCCTCTTAATCCATTTTATTACTAATCTATCGACGAAATTGATTTTATTGTTAATTTAACGACGAAATTGATTTTTAATGCAGTGGCTGAAATGAGAAAGATATCAACTATGATGGTTACAAAAGTTTTGGTATGATTATTTTTTCCAATAACTATTATTATAAGAAATTAGCTTTAATTTATATGATTAATTTTGGGTTGAAGTTGTTGGATCAAACTTCTTTAAATTGGGTTTAATTTTGATATATTTGGCTTCAGTCATCCAAATATGCAGGTGACTTCATCTTTATTTGTTTGGCAAGAGCTAGGTATAATTTATACTATACTTTCAATTGGTAATTTTCTAATTTTGGTTCCCTTCAATAAGAAATGATTGCAGTTGCTGCATTCACATATAAAATGATTGCAGTTGCTGCATTCACATATAAAATGATTGCAGTCCAGGTTTGGTCTTTCCTGATTCACATTTGAGTTTCTTCATGACATATTTATAATGTTATACTCTCCTCTAAATGTTTAGTATCCAAGCATACATAGGTTACGCGTACCCATATTAATATTCTTAATTTCTTATGTTAACCCTATAATAGATTACCAAAAAATGTCCTCTAGATAACAGATCTGAGAATGTCAAACAAAGATGAAACACAAGTGGAAACTGCATGGTATTCATTAATTACCTTGTCAGCCAAAGAAGCCCATTGGTGCAAGTGGATGATGATTTAGCGGTTTTACTTTCAATCTCTACTTGTACCAAACTGTACAAGATACTAAATCTTGATGGATTGGATGAATTTAAAGTTTCCAATCTCTGCCATGAAAATTAATATAGTATAAAGTGAGAACATGGACCATTTGATAAGGATATACTTCTAGTGGTACATGTACATACCAATAATTGCAAGAAAAGCTTAATCATAAATAAGAATTAAAAACTCACAAATAGAAAACAAAAGATTTGCAGCTTAATACCATAATACAGCTACACCGTGTAATCATAAGAAATAAAGAAAAATACATCCAAAGCTGCTAGATAGATATGATGACCACGTTGACCAGTGTTACAACTCACAGATCGCAAAAAATAGAGGTGGCTCTAAGGTTAAATTTTGAATCAGTAATAAAATAGAGTTTGCAAATAGGATGATTGATTGTTGACAGAGAATAGAGCTTTCTGCAAGCCAATAGGTTTGGAGAAGAAACACCTTTCTCAGTCTTTTGGTGCTGATGTTGCTGTAAACAGCCTTCTGACTCATCTAATTTCTTCTGGTAAAGTTCTTCTTTTATCCCATATGAACTTGTATTCCAGCTTAAAGTTCTATGCCCTTTCTCAAAACTCAAAAGGGTATAGGGGATTGAACTCGAGTATTTGGCTTCAAGTTCAATACTGCTTATGCTTAATAAACCAAATCACACTCTTTGACTTGAAAAAAAGTAAATATACAACAAGAATAATACTATTAACTAGCACGAATGCAGAAGTATTTAATATATGTACAATAAGAATACACAAAAACAATAGGAAAGTGGCGTTTTGGTTCACTGTTTTGCTGTTTGTTTATAAAGTTGCAGATTGTTTCAATTCCTCACTTTATAAATGATCGTTGTTTTTTTAAAATTCCAATGACTCCCATATATTTTTGTCTCTGTGATTGTGATGTGATCATTGTTATTCCAAAAACATGATATACATTTAATAAAGAACCGGTATACATTTAATTTGTGCGTGAAACTGCAAATCAAGCCAAAACATGATAATTCCATATTTATCTAATTTCAGTTTTAAAACTGATTGTGATGTTATTTTTATCAAATTTGGTTGTTGGCAACATGATGGCAATTGATATGTTCTCATCAAAAGAAAAGTATTGGATATTTCTTTATTCTCTCTTTTATGAAACACTCCTTGCTTTTGCATAGTCATTGAGAATGATTTTTTGTATCATCTGCAATTGTATTTTCAGGTCTACAGCATGCATCAGGGAAAAATAGATGTAGAAACTGTATTAACAATGGGGATCATGGAAGATGTTAGCATTATTCCCCAACCGGCAGGTAACTATACATACAGAAAATGGGCTTTAATTTAAGGTGAATAATTGTAACAAATAAACACAGTCAATTTTAAGTGTTAGCTGCTAACTATATTTGCCAAGATGTAATGCAATTTCCTATCTCGTTGTTATGGATGTTAAGTAACTGCTTCCAATGATGAGTTTCAGTATGTTGGTTTTCACTATTTTCAAATGTTTATATATATGGTGTAATAAGCACCGAGAATTTGATTTTGTGATTATAATAATTATTATTAATATGGTGTTTCAGGTGTAGTTGAACTGGTGAGTTAGATGGACCATACATGACTATTAGCCTCAAGGGTAGGTTTTGGCACAGGCGTTTGCCTGAAACAGATTGTCCAAGTTTGACTTTCTCGATAATCATATATATTGAACATGAATTACAACATTAAAAACATAAATCAAGGGTGAATAGACTTATCAGTTATCATCTTGGACTATGCAATTTCATTGGTGTCGTTATGTTTACAGGGAAGTCATTCATGAAGAAACTGGCCATGTGCTAAAAGTTCCAATTCGATGCGTTCACTTGTCTGGTGATGTATCTCACTTTGATAACTATGATACCAGTGTTCCTCAAAATATAAGTCCAAAGATAGGTATGAAAATCAAGTTTTCTGTTTCTTTTTGGTTGTGACATTTTCTTTATTTGTTGAGTTTGTGGTGCATTTTTATGACTAATGCTAATCTAATTGGTTTCTTTTCATGGATTTTATTATTCGCACCTTTTTGAAGGGTGGTTATTGCGTACACTTACATCGATCAGTGTATAAGACAAGTTGTTGTGGAGCAGGCACTGCTGCTGATACAGAGGCAATAATAGGTATTGTTAATAATGCATACATCTCATGTCGCCCATTTTTATTACACTACTGCTGATACATAGGCAGTAACAGAGATACCATGACATATGTCACCTCTAATTGAGTTGCTCATTAAGTTTTAAGGTAGTTTCTCAGAACTGTACTAATCTTTAAATAATTTAAAAACCAATTTGCAAACTGAACAGGGCTATTGCATATTGTCAGTATATTGTTAATTCACATTCTTGAATTTTGATTGTTAGGTATGAACACCGTCTTATATATGATATGGTTGTGTATGCTGTTAAAAGTGACGGAGGCTATGTATAGGCCTGAAAGAATTATGATGGGGATGTGCAGAGTGGAACACACAAATATTATTTTAGTCTCAGTAATATTTATATTTATACAGTCAATTTACTACATTTTATTGTTTAGAATTCAATTCTAAGTGGCAATTTTCTTGTCTTGAATTATTTAAATTTGGCATGCTGAAGTATAATTATAATTTTCACTAGGGTGATCAACATTTGTCTATTTAGATCATATGAGATCTAAATCTATTGATAGGATTATTATTATAGGTAATGGATGACAAATTATACTATTCAAAATTGTGTTTATAGAGCTTTGGATAAAACTATTTCAAGAGCCAACATGGACTTGGCTACTACAAGGGATGTTCAAGAGTCTTAACAAAAACGGTAAATCAGTAGCTTTAAATTACCTGAACAGAAATGACAAGTTTGAGCTCTACCAGTGGTAGCGCGTAGGTACGATTCCTTCTTACCCACCTTCTCCTTATACTGATGCTGGAATCCGTAGGTTTGCTACGAGGTGATAGAATTTGTTTGTTGTTTTTCTACAGGTGTGTTCGATCCGTTCCACGTTGTTGCTGTTGTTTCAAATAGCTTGAATTGTGTCACATATTAAATGACTCTGTATTTGAACATTGATTGCAGGTGCATAATTGTGTTGCAATTACTTGAATTGGTTTAATTTTAAGTTTGTCATGAGTTTTCAAAATTGTGTTGGTTATTACATGCCCTTTTGTTTTGAATTCCATTGTCATTGAGTGTTTGAATTGATTTGAACACGAATGTGAACATAAGGTGGTGTACTAAATTTTGATGGCAATGTGCTTAAATTACTTTTAAGGTGAACATAAATATGTGCGGCATGGAAACTGTCATGTAGATATTATGAATCACAGAACATTGACGTCAGTGCTATCCAAGTCAACCAAGCCAAATGATTTGTAAGTATTCGCCCTCTCATCAAATCAAAACAAAAAATGACATTTCTTGTCGCACTGATTGATCTTTTAGAGAACAGTTTGATAAATTAATGTGTTCTTACCATCAAGACACCCTAATAATCGACGAATTAAGATGTAGAAATAAGCACATTTTGATCCACTGACTATTAATATGATGAATGGATTAATGCATGGAAAATGTGATTGCAACAAAACCAAATTCTCTGTTGAATTTTGATAGCTCGATTTTAATCATTTCTATTTCAATTCAGTTTTGGTACTCTTGATGTGAATATTGAGATTATGTTATATACTGTGACTTTATTCAGCTAGAGCTAATGCACGTGCGACTCAAGAGGGCAAGGAGAAGGACATATACACAAGACATAGAGTTAGCAATGAATATGATGGTTGTGTTCTCCGATGAAGATGATCGTAATGCCTACAGTGCTATTGTCGGAAGGCTTGCGAAAAAGTTGGAACTTCACAGTGTTAAGGATCTTGAGGTAGAAACAGTGGTTGTTGGATACCTTGCTAGAGAAAGAAAGGGACACCAAGAAGAGAGCACACAGAAAATAATTGGTCTTCTCAACCAATACAAAAGGATTGCATGTATGGAAGAAACTGGGGTTGTTATAGATGATGATCCTGCCATGCCTAATAAGATGTTCGGAAGAAGCACTTCTTTGAACATCCCTCATGAGTTTCTATGTCCAATAACACTTGAAATCATGACAGATCCTGTTATTGTTGCAATTGAAAAGGTAATAGTCACATAGTTCTTAAAAAAATCATTTTCCCACATATATGCATGATGCTAACAAAACTAACTTTGCTCATTTTCTTGTGATTGTGTGTGTTTGTTTTCATCAAAGGGAAAGCATAGAGAAGTGGTTCAAATCCAATCACAGCTCTTTCCCAAATACAAGGAAACCACTTGAACATCTTCAATTAGCACCAAATTGTGCCTTAAAGAACTTAATTGTCGAATGGTATGAGAAAAACAACTTCAAACATCCAAAAATATGCACTTTCTGTCATTGATTTTCTGAGAATATTCATCCATCTTTCAATTTGTTGCCATCCCTTACTGATGGTGACTCTCCAGAACAACATCCCAAAAGACCAAAACTGAGTAGTAGCAAAAAGAAGAAACTGCATGAAACTTTGATTAGAATTTTAATTTCTACTATGACGTAGACTTTGTGTGAATTGAGTTGTATCAATAATAATAGTATCAATAAACACATGCTTTGTGTGAATTGAGTTGTATCAATAATAATAGTATCAATAAACACATGCTATTGTGATGTATACTGGCTAGAATAATAGTGTATGGTGTAGCAATAAACACATGCTATGCTTTGTTGTCTCTAATGATATTAATCCTTTGGTAGCTATAAAAATTGAGTTGGTAGATTTGTTAGCAATAACCCACTACCCAGTGACTAAACTGAATGACATAAACTAAAGAAAGTCATTTGACAGTTTAATTTGATTTTTCTTCTACTAAGTAGTAATATTTGATTTTGGTGGGTTAAGTATCACTATTTCAACCATGACGTTTTGGTTTTTTCCTCTGCCAGTTTAATTTTCAAAATTGTGAAACATTATAAAGTTTACCATTTGAGTAACTGAGTCTTGGAAAACTTAAGAATATTGTCCTATATATACAACAAATATTATTTATATATTGCAACAACTCTTGTTGATTGAACCACGTGGTGTTATTCATTTATAGGATAAAATTATAATCATTTATATCCAGGTACTTTTAGTTAATAATTGTTTGAGAATTAGATATATTATCTTTGCATTCTATTGATTATTATTATTAGAGTATGTTTTGTTATAAGGATTTCTATTGATATACGAATTTTTTGAGTATATTGTAAAATAACTATGCTTAACTCAATGAGAGTGTCAGACCGGTATTCGTGCGAACGCACGGTTATCATACTAGTTTATAAATTATTTTTACTATCTAGACAATTGTAATACAGTAGGCATGGGTGTTCGTACAATTTAGATCAATATGTAATTTAAGGATAAACTAGTAAGAAATCTGTGCTATCGCACGGGTCTCGTTTGAATTCATATTACATGTCTATCAGATCATTATTTGTAAAGTTTAAATTTATTCCTCAATTGTTTGACATTCACATAGTTATAAATATAAACTAATAATATGCACAAACTTTTAAGCATCGACTATACTTATAATAAGCTGTACAACCCATTCTCTAACTTCAATTATATAAAACAACATCAAAAGAAAGATTTAAAAGATGTACATTAAAATTAACAGTCTATAGTTGGTATTTCATAGATATGTTCATATCTACCCGTGAATCTACAACTGAGAAATAAAATAAAAAGTAAAAAGAACTATTAGATTGATACACTTGACCAAGAGAGTATTATTAAGTCTTTAATGTTAATCGAATTATGTTCAAAAGATTCTATAATTTAGTTAAAAATGAATTATATAGTGAATTTATATAAAACATCAGTAAAAGAAAGATTTAAAAGATAAACGTTAAAATGAACAATCTACGGTTGATATCTCATAGATATATCCACGTGTAACCATGGATCTTATGCCTGCAAATACCTTCACTACGATGAACAATCTATAATGGACTTTTTAGTGTTTATAATTTTTTTTGTAACTTATTCTCATTTATAAAAATAATTATATCAACAATATATATATTTTTCGTTTATAAAATATTTTGTAACTTATTTTGTTTATAAAGTTTAAAAAATATTAAATTTTATAAATATAATTAATATTTATAAATTATCTTTTTTATTTCATTAAGTAAACTATTTTTTTTATTAATATTAGACATTCTCAACACTTTCTTTACATTTTCCATCTAATATTTTTCACAATATGTTGAATTACCATTAAATTGAGATCAATTTTTCTCAATTTCTGTTCGAAAATCATAATCAAATGAATTGAAATTGAAATATGTTAATTTTTAAAATAAATTACAGACTAACAAACTCAAGCAACTATATGGTAAAATATCTCATCCTAACATTTAATTATTGAGAGTGATTTTGCGGTCTAGTACATTTGGTAGTTTGATCAGAATCAAATAAAATAGAGCATAGAGTGTAAATCCATTCAGGCATATGCGTGCACCTCTAATAGAGAAGGTTTTCTTACAATTTAATATTTAACCTATCAATTATTTCAATCTTTTCCACAACACCTACATTCCACAACACCTACATAAATAAATGTTAAGAAACATAAAATTTATCATAAATAACACTCTGCTGGAATTTATCAAAAATTTATTGGATACATGACCCTTAAGCTAGAAAGTATTGGATTGTGCAAAACAACAACTCGTAATCGAAGTAACCAAGCTATGAATTCCAAAGTTGGTCCACTTCCAATGGATTGTCGGTAAAGGAGAATATCTTCCTTTCTCAAAATCCAACAACCTAGCTTCTTACGCATCTATCAATTATAAAGTTTGAATTCATTATTCAATTGATTAACATTCATATAGTTATAAATATAGATTAATAATAAGCACAAATTTTTAAGCATTAAACTGTATTTATAATAAATCGTACAATCGATTTTCTAACTTCAATTATATAAAACAACATAAAAAAATATTTAAAAGATGGCATAAACATTAAAATTAACACTCTACAGTCGGTATCTCATAGATACGTTCGCATCTACTCGTGGATTTATGCATGCAAGGACCTTCATTACAATGAACAATCTATAACCGTTAAATTTAAAAATAAAATGAGAAATAAAGAAACTCTTAGATTAATATACTTGACTAATAGAACAAAGTAAATCAATATTTATAACTTTTTCTCGTTTATAAAAATAATTTAATCAATAGTTGACTTTTTCTGATTTATAAAAAATATTTATAACTTTTCCCCTTATTTGGTAATGTAATCCAAAGTTATAAATTAATATTTAAAATGAGTATATACTATTTTTATAATGTCAATAAATAATTATAATGACTTATAAGAATCACAAATTGGGCAATGAAGATGAAGCTAGATAAAGATAGTTTTTTTCCAAAATAAATAAATTAATATGACACTCTATAAAATAACTTGTAAATAAATCTTTGAAGTAATTAAATAAATACTAAAAACAGTCTCAGTTATTGCATTTCATGATCTTCTTTGGATAA